AGAGGATGATGACGATGATGACGATGATGATGATGATGATGATGATGATGATGATGATGATGATGATGATGATGATGATGATGATGATGATGATGATGATGATGATGATGATGATGATGATGATGATGATGATGATGATGTATGATGATGATGATGATGATGATGATGATGATGATGATGATGATGATGATGATGATGATGATGATGATGATGATGATGAGGATGAGGATTATGAGGATGACGATGATGATGCTGCTGCTGATGCTGCTGCTGATGATGATGATGATGATGATGATGAGGAGGAGGAGGAGGAGGAGGAGGAGGAGGAGGAGGGGGACAGAGGAGGGGGAGGAAGGGGAGCTCGCCGATCGCCTATCGATTTGCTGCCTCCTCTGGCAGGATTTCCCCGCCGTGGTCCACCAGGGTTACGAGTGGGGCGGCGCGAGTGCCCGAAGTGTCGCCGATGTCCTCGCGCTCAGACTTCCAGCCAAGCCCAAGTGCTGTCGCGTCGGCGGTGGCGGGCCTTGTAGTCACACCGTAAGGCCAGAAGTCCACCGCTGAACACATGGCATCTCCTCCTGCGTGCGGCTGCTGCTTCTTGTGCTCTTCTTTCTCTTGGTGTCCCCCCCCTGTCCTCCCACCTCTCTCCCTGCCTCTCTGGCCTCCTCATCTCCTTCATCATCCTTCATTCTTCTCACCTGCTGCCTCCTCCTTGTCTTCCTCCCCTCAGAAGCTGTGCGCCTTCTCCCCTGGACCTCTCATGGAGTGCCGCGCGGCCAGAACTTCGAGGGCAATCTGGCCATTGCGACGAGAAGCTTCCCAGAGGCCTCAGAATGGCCAAAACGCCCAGCAGCCTCGAGACGAGACCCTCGATCCTCGATCTTCGATCCTCGATCCTCTTTGCTCGATGCTCGATGCTCGATGCTCGATGCTCGATGCTCCTCCTCCTCCTCCTCCTCCTCCGTATCCTCAGCATCACAGCATAACAGTCATCTCACGCGGATGCTCGCCCTAAGCCGATCTTCTCGAAGGCCTCTGGGGCCATGGCTCGCCCCCCCGCCTTTTCCAGAGGACCGCAGGGGCCTCAGACCGGAGGGCGCACAACAGCTTCAGTCTTCGATCCTCGATCCTCGATCCTCCTCTTCCTCCTCTTCCTCTTCTGCGATCCTGCTCCTCCGCCGCCGCCTCCTCCTCCTCTCGACTCAGTCTTCGATTCGCGATCCTCGATCCTCGATCCTCGATCCTCTTCCTCCTCCTCCTCCTCCCCCTCCTCCTCCTCCTCCTCCTCCTCCTCTTCCGTAGCCATTTTGGCTCAAGTCTGGATGAAAGCTACGGTGTAGCGAGATTCCAGACTGAGGGCCAAAGTGGTCCTCATAGGCTTTTTGCCCTCGAGCTGCCTTGTTTCCTGCTCCCGAGGCCAGGTCATCGGCCGCCCGCAGGACAGCTCCGTTTAGGCACCTTCTGAGTCAGTGCAGCCGCACCACTGCGATGGCTTCTGATGATGAGATGATGTGGCCAACGCCAGTGGCAGAGGAAGCATGCTCGGTCCCGAAGCATGGGCGTACTGGCAATGCTGACTTGCTACGCGAGATGCTGGGTGACATTCGCTCGAACATGGCCACAAAGGATGACGTCACAGAGGTGAAGAGAAACATGCATGAGCACGAGGGCAGGATCGACGGTCTGACTGCGCGGATGAAGGCGATCGAGGATAGAACTAATACCAGCTTGGATGCAGCACAATCCGCTGCCGCCGCCGTCATGACTGAAGCTGTTGACAATCAACTGAAGGACATGAAGGCCCATACTCTCAAGATGCAGGCCGAGCTTGCTGCGCTGTCATCGCGTACACCATCGACCAGGTCAAATGCATCGGCCGCATCACTAGAGCCCGAGAAGGAGAGGGACAACCGCAAGATCTGGATCGCGGGCTTCCCGAGGCCGCTGCTAGCCAAGGTCATGAGTGCCCATGCTACACAGCTCATCCAAAAGCACGTCCCCAACGGCATCACGGCAATGCCCAAGTCCCACAACTTCCAGACGGCCTACAGCATCATCTTTGATTCGAATGAGGCGGCCAAGGATTTCTTGATGCGCGCTCGGACCCTGGGTGTGAGGTGGCGCGACCCTCGCACCAATATTGACTGTGAATTGAAGATCCGCATGGACGCACCGCCAGCCATCCGCAAAGTCAACCGCATCCTCGGCGTCCTCTTGTCCAAGGTCGTGGAGACAGCCAAGGCCTATAACAAGTGGAGTCCATCGTTTACGCTAGGCTCGCAAGGATTTCGTGGCACGCTATGGCTGATCTCGAATGATGACACGGAGAACCTCTTCCAGGTGAAAGGCGTAGAGTCGATGCAAGTGGACGTCATTCCCAACGTCGTGGCATTGAAGAAGATCGGCTTCACTGATGCCACCATCAACAGCACGGTTGAGAGCATCCTGATCTAGGAGACCGCTCTGCCAAGCCAGCAGTGCATGAAGGCCGACTTGCATGATATGTCACTGGGGTTCCTCGCCTCTCCTGTGGATTGTGATTTGACTGGTTTGGGTGTCCCGTTCTGCGTGGGCGCTTGCGGTGTACGTTCCACACCTGAACAAGCGGCAGACAGCGACGACCAGCAACACGCCACACCGCCACCTACGAGGATAATTTGGTCTACATGCGGAATAGCCACTTCAGAGAGAAGAGCAAGAGCCTCATCCTCGTCGTCCTGCGCGTCTGGGTCTTCCAGTCCTGGTGGGTCGTCTGCACGTTCGGCACCTTCGGCAAGTTCTACGTCCTCATCCTCCTGCTCTTCTTCGTCGTTTACGGCTGACTGGCCGGCGTTGCTGATGCGATGCAGCCTTTTCTTGCCGTGCAAGCGTTTTTCAGTTGTGTCTTGGAATGCTCGTTCGCTCTTCGGCGCACTGTGCGCCCCGCAGCACGCCCACCGCGCAAAGATCAGGCAGCTTATCAATATGACTCAGTACCATGATGTTGTATGGTTTCAAGAGGTTCGCGGGTCGTACGAGTGTTTCCGTGCCCTGGAGCGTGAGGTAATCAGCTCTCTGGCTTCTCGTTCCTTCTCTGCAACCCTCACTTTGGTGGTAGTCTTAGCCTTGCCCCTGGTGCCACCTGAATTCAGTTTTGTAGATTGTTTTCCTCTCGACAATCGTGCTCTGTTGTCTATCTTGTTGTATATTGATGCCTGCTTCCATTGTTATCTTACCTGTCGCCAGCGTCCCGCGTCGACCGTCGCCGTGGCAGGGGCCCGTGTTCAGCAGGTCTGCAGGCAGAGGGCAGACCTGTCCGCGCTGATTGGCACGGCCCCGCAGGCGCCGCCGCACGCGGCCGTGACGCCGACGTCTTGCCCTCTTCTCGCTTCTTGTCCGCCTGCCCTCTTCTCGTCCCTCTCTTTTGGCCAGCGCACTCCTCCTCCTCCTCCTCCCCGCCCTGGGCCAGGGTGCAGAAGCAGCTGGTCGTGCCCCAAAGCGCACGTACACGGCCATACAATTAGCCAAACGCTCAGAGAAATCAGCCAGACCTGCCTCCAGAGGGTGGGCTTACAGCATTCACCCTTCAGATCCTCGTCCTCCTTCTCCTCGATCCTCCTCCTCCTCCTCCTCCTCCTCCTCCTCCTCCTCCTCCTCCTCCTCCTCCTCCTCCTCCTCCTCTTCCTCCTCCCATCCCTCCTCCTCGCATCCCTCCACTTCCCCTGCCTCCCCCGCCCCGCATCTTCCTCCTCCCCGCCTCCCCCGCCTCCACCTTCACCTCCTCCTCCCACGGAGGCGAGGGCACTCGAGGCAGCCTGCAGGCTCGCCCTCGCAGCCGAGGGGGCAGGGCCGTCCAGGGACCTGACGAGCGCTCTGCCCGTCGCGGCTTCACTCTTCAAATCCTCCTCGATCCCCCTCCCTCCTCCTCCCGATCCTCCTCCTCCCCTCCTCCTCCTCCTCCTCCTCCTCTCCTCCTCCCCCCCCTCCCCCCTGCCCCTCCTCCCCCTCCCTCCCCCTCCCCCTCCCCTCCCCCTCCCCCTCCCTCCCCCCTCCTCCCCTCCCCCTCCCCTCGCCTCCCTCCTTCTCCCCCTCCCCCTCCCCCTCCCCCTCCCTCCTCGTCCCCCCCCCCCCTCTCGCCAGCCCCCGCATAATAGGTGAACCAATGCGGCGAGGGGGGGCCACCGCCGCAGCAGCGAGTCGCTGGCGCCGCGGCCCCTGTGTGCCCGACACGATTGCCGCAATGGGATGCGCGACGCGTGGTGTCCCTACCGGTCTGTAGCACCGGCTCCAACTGCGGCCGCCCCACGGCCTCTCAGGATCTGCGCGAACGAAATGGGCACGGAAAGAATGTGTACAATGCCCAACAGCGGATCTTGTTCATTTTGAACAGGACTCGCTGTCCACGCCGCCGCGGCCTGTCTCCATTCGAGACAGAAGGCCGCCTGCCCAACAGCGGCCGCCGTTGGTTTGGGACAACATTTGTTGTTGGGCATTGTGCCCATTCTTCCCGTACCCATTTCGGGCGTCCAGACAGGAGGAAAGGGCGAGGACAGTCACTGCTGCGGCAGGGCTGCCCGCCAAGTCTCCGAGTCGAGCACGACCACCGTCGTTCGTCTGTGCTGCCTCCCCCTCGTATCTCGGGCCGTCGGCGGCCGTCCGGAACGATCCGGGCAGCCCAACGAGAGATTCCTCCCCTCCTCCCGCGTCGACGGCTCGGGGACGGGCTGACGCCAGTTCAAACACCCAGCAACACCAAGGCGGCCCGGCAACGGCGGGGGCCGCCCGACGGGGGGAGGAGCAGTTGGAGGAAGAGAGGAGAAAAGAGAAGAGGAGAGGAAAGAAGAGGAGAGGAGAGGAGGATGATGATGAGGAGGAGCATCGGGATGAGGAGGAGCACCAGTGTAAACCTAAGTCGCGTCAGCGATGTTGTAACAAGACCGTGCAATAATTGATTTGCGTTGCTGGAAGTGCCCCATTGGAAACCACACGCCTACGAATCTTCATTCGTGCCAAAACACAATTCCTGGAACTTCAGCGTCGCGTGTCAACGTGACTGTCGCGTTATGCCAACCCTGAGCCGTGCCAGAACACAATTCCTGGGACTTCACCGCGAGTCAGCATGAGTGTAGCGTTATGACAATCTTAGGTTTTGCCAGAACACGATTCCTGGGACTTCGACATTGCGAGTCCTTGCAACTGTTGCAAGCTTTCATAACGGTTGAGCGCGGTGCTAAGGCGAGAGCCCCATTTTGGGAAAGAACCGCCCTTCATCCGTGAAACGGCTCCAAACTTTTGCGACGAATGTGCGCGGCGCTGAGGCGAGAGCCACATTTTTGACATCCACACGCCCTCCATCCGTGAGAGTGTTGCGTCTTTTAAGATGCGTGTGCGCGGCTCTTACAGGCGAGAGCCACATTTTGAAAGCGGCCCGCCCTTCGTCTGTGGAGCTGTAGCAAGCTCTCAAAACGAATGCGCGCTGTGCAGCGGCGAGAGCCACGTCTTGCAGAACGGCCTAGCTCACCTCCGTGCAGTTGTTGCCAAGCTGTGGCTCCAGGAGCATCAGCGGCGAGGGGGTCTCGGTCGCGACGCCCGGTCCTTCCTACCAACACGTTTGGGGGGCTCGACAGGGAGGAGTTGCGCACTGTTCCTCTCGAATTCTTCGAAAGTTCTCTTGGTTTCTGGGGAGCCACGATCCTTTCACTTCCGATTGTTCCGTCCTGGGCCACTTCCTGGCCACCAGGGGGCCGGGAACGGTCAGAGACGAGCACAGGCAGAGGCGAGCACGATCAGGATCAGGAAGGAGCGACGTGTGTTCACGAGGAGGACCCAGACATGCGACGTCCTGATTTTTTCAGGACGGCGCCCCCGGAAGTCCCGACCCTTCCCCCGGGGCCGGTTTTTCATCCTGAGTCGTTTTTTGACGGTCCCGAGGCCCGGCGAAGGCCCCCAGAGCCCGAAAACGGTGAAAAACCTCCGTCCTGAATTTTTTACGACGCGAGCATGTCTGGGGAGGGATGGCGCCAGCGGGCGAGGAGGAGCCAAGCGCTGCAACAGGCTCTTACCACCCTCGTCCTGCTCCCAAAGTCCCGCGCGGTGCCCCTCGGTGCCTGGCACGGAGCCTGTTGCGGCCTCGGGAGGCCTAGGGCCGAGCTGGAGGAGGAGGAGGAGGAGGGAGGAGGGAGGAGGGAGGAGGGAGGAGGGAGGAGGGAGGAGGGAGGAGGGAGGAGGGAGGAGGGAGGAGGGAGGAGGGAGGAGGGAGGAGGGAGGAGGGAGGAGGAGGAGGAGGAGGAGGATGTTGCTGCTGCTGCTGATGATGAGGATGAGGCTGAGGCTGATGCTGGTGCTGATGGCGACGACGACGACGATGACGATGACGATGACGATGATGATGATGATGATGATGATGATGATGATGATGATGATGATGATGATGACGATGACGATGATGACGATGATGATGATGGTGTTGGGGATGATGCTGATTCTGCTGCTGCTGGTGCTGATGATGGTGCTGATGCTGATGATGGTGCCGATACTGCTGCTGCTGATGGTGACGATGATGATGACGATGCTGATGACGATAATGATGATGATGGTGATGCCGATGATGGTGATGAGGATGATGATGATGATGATGATGATGATGATGATGATGATGATGATGATGATGATGGTAATTCTGCTGCTGCTTATGATGATCATGAGTAGGAGGAGGAGGATGGGGATGATGATGAGGATGAGGATGATGATGCTGATGCTGCAGATGATGATGATTATGATGATGATGCTGATGATGATGATGATGATGATGAAGGTTCTGATGATGATGATGATGATGATGATGATGATGATGATGATGATGATGATGATGATGAGGATGATGATGGTTCTCTGTAGCGAATCCGGTGGTCCGAATTCGAATCTCCGGTCGGTCGGCTCGCGAGGGGCCGCTGCAGTACAGGTAAGCGCCTATGCCTGCACAACAGCTCGTGCTTAAACGAGTATAGTTGACACGCGAAGCACGTGAGCCCCAGTTCCTGTTCGCACAATGCCTGCCCCCTGCTGTCATGATGTTTGTTTGGTTGCTTCACGCTCGGGTGCTGCACGCTCGCTCGCAGAAATGATGAGCCCAGTCATAGACTGGGAGCTGCTCCGTCTCGAGGGCAGCAACAGCTATATCTGGATAAGCGGTGACATCAAGGGCCTACCGACGACGCCAGCTCCCTGGCATGACCCGCTTCCTAGACTGGACAACTTTCAAAACTGGGCCAGAGACGCTCAACCAGGTGGTAAGGACGAGCGCGCGAGCAGATTTCATTCCCTTCGGCGTTTTTTTCGTGTAAGAAGCGATGGGAGCCCCTGGGGATTTCAATCAGCTGCTTGCGACGCTCAAGACTCACGTGCCAGCAATTGTGCCTAGGGCGAGGGATGCTGCACGCCTCAGCCAGCGGACAGGTCCAGGCGCAGCGAGTACAACGCTGCTCGCGGCGGCCGGGCCCACCGATGACCCCCTATGTCGCTGCAAATGCACCAGCAGCCGAGCTGAAGACCTGAGCTCTGGCCTGCCACTTCCACCCTTCACACTGCTCGTGGGCCAAGAACACACCCGTGTAAAAAGCAATTGCAAGCAAGACAACTACGAGGCACATAGGGGTGCTGATGGGATGATTGAGAACAGCGCACATGAACGAAGGTACTCAGCGCAATTTACGTGCCGTGGCCCAGAGTAGCTGAATACGCTCCCTTTTTGGGCGCGGGATGCTGGCATCACGGTTGTGCTTCTTGAGGAATGCATCTACCCCTTTGACAATGTCTGGCTTGCTCGTCCAGACGGCCCCCAGGC